CCGCAGCCCGGGGCTTTTCTCCCCCGAGGTTTTCCGCTGAACTTCATCCCAGTCTCCCGGGCGGGCCGCGGCGCCCGGAGGGTGTGTCCGCTTCCCCAGGGCTTGTTTGTTGTGAGTCACGTCGCGCCGCCCGCCCTGGGGCCTGCCTGCGTGTGCGTGTGTGTCGGGCGGCACATGCAGCTCAGGAAGGGAAGGGCGCGCCCAGTTGCCAGGCTCTGCTCTCCGCGGGACCCACACCCACACCCCGTCAGTCAGTCAGGCGCACACTGCCCCTGCTCCGCTGCCCCCCACGCACACCCTGTCACAGTCGCAGCCCACCTGCCCACTGTGAGGGACTTCTGCGAGGCAGGAGTGCCCGAGCCCCCCACACCTCGGCAGGGTGTGCGTGGAGGTGTGTAAGCGTGTGCGCTCACAGACACGCTTTGGGGACTGCTGGGACTGAAAGGACATGCTCGTCCCAGGTGTGTGTGCAGGGGCGTTGTGTGGCAGGGTGGGAGGCAGTGCTTGCTGCTGCTGTGGCGCCCTATCCGGAGGGCAGTGGATGCTTGGGGCTGTCGCTTCTGTGAGGTGCGGCCTGTTGTTCCCGCTGCAGGGTGCTTGGGCCTCAGACTGCTCGAGTGTCCCCTGTTGCTGGGACAACCCCGGGTTCCACAGCCTGCTACTGGTGGCTTCCTAGTGACCCAGTTCCCTGCGCTTCTGTCTGAGGCTCCTCTGTGGTGCTGCTTTAAGGACACTTTAAATTAAACTGTTTGCAAGGCTTTCATTTGATCTCTTTGCTTCCGAATCCAATCTTCCATCCACTGCCGAGTGGATGGACCCTGAGCCTCTTGTACATTCCCCAAAGAACTCCCCCCCCCCCCCCCCCCCAAGGAAAAAATGATATAGAGAAAAGGAAGCTGAACTATATGCCATGAGTTGTCTTTCAGATAAGCCTTTCAAATGTAACGTGTCCCCAGTTGGGTGTGCTGTACCAAAGCTCAATACAGTTTTTAATACTCCCAAGTTATTTGGTATCCATCTGCAGCTAGCTGGTTATCCTTCTTTTCATGGAGCACCACACTTGAAAAGGAACCACAATGTTTCTTTAAGGAAATTGCTTCTGAAAATACAAAGTAATCATTTTGACACTTTAGATTGAAACTGCACTAGGAAATCAGAATTTGCATAGGGAAAGGTTGACATCTGTCTGAGTGGGAGGCAACACAGTTTAAACTTTTTGTTTTGTTCTTGGGAGTTACTTGCTCCACCCGAAAAAATCTGCTGATGCAAATGCTTTTAAAAGGTGAGGTTGCATTTGGTGTTACTCATGGGAAATATGACAAACACATGAACATAGTAATTGCAGCTCATGTTTTGACCTGTCTGACTCTTCTTTCTATTTGAGAAAAGTTGCAAAGAATCTGTTTGGCACTGTGTTCATTTAAAATGATCAGAATCATAAACCTTACTAATGTTTTTAAAAGAAATGAATCCCATTAGTCATTTTAAAGTCACATAACCAGCAACCACTTGAGAATCAAAACCTGCTGTGTACTTGACAGCCTGTCTGCAAGTGGCTGTATTTTCCTTTTTTGGAAAGAATCTGACATGCTAAAGTGCAGAGTCAGGACTTGCGCAGTAGTCAATTGGGGTTTATATCTAGTTTGCACTGTGTGTAGGTTTAATCAAATTTAGAAAAAGTGTATTGATGATGAGAGAGAGATTATTTTTGGTAAGGTAAGGCTTGAATAAAGCCATCTGTTCTACTGTTACAGAGGATTGACTGTAGTAGTGGCAGTGTCGTAGATGGCACTGCCACAGGATTAGAGGATACAAGGCCAGTGTAGGGTGATGAGAATGAGTAGGTGGGATCAAAACGCAGTGTTTGTACTGAGTATCTTTGATCGGACAAGTCAGTCAGTATTTTTACATCTAGGTTGGCTATGGCAACCCCATTTGTCTTTATTGTGGGAAGAGGCAGTCAAAGCAGAACAAGGCAAGAGAAGCTATAGACGAAGTACAGCATTAAATGTAGGATGTCATCATCTGGGTCCCTACTTAAGTGACTCAAACCAGGCTCTGTGAGGTCTCTGACAGAAATGTGACTACTGGTGCATACGCTCTGTCTTTCAGATCTAAACAGCAATATGCTGTTCTCATTGCAGGTGTTACTCTGTTGCCACCACCTGTGCTTTGTGAAGTTGAAACTAAATGGATTTTGTTTGACATTTTTGATCAAACCACACAAATGTTTGTTGCAAACACATCTGGTTACTGTTTTTTTGTATTTGGTATCTATCTGTCTTTACCTGGGCAAGACTTAGTTTTATTAAAGATAAGACTTAAAAGCAATAATCTTAAAAGATTGATTTCCCTCCCCTGAGAGAACTTTAGAGGTATCTGTATTCAAAATATATGTATGTATCAGTCTGAAAAGATGAAACTTAAATCATCTTTCTTGTCCTTTCTTTTCTTTGTTCCTACTCTGCCCCCAGCAACTGACTGATCTCTGGATGTCAGTGTTCAAAGGAACTGGGAAGCAGTTTACGGTTACCATGTACTGTGCAACAAACAATACCAAATCAGAATTCCAGGTAGTAGGGTATCTTGTCTGCCAAGCCATTCATGTTCTGAAAGTCTGTCTAATAAAAGGAAAAAGAAAGAAGATGCTAAATGGAGCCAATGAGATTAGAGGGAAGGCTGAGAGTACTGAAAGAAAATTTAAAGTGGTGACTGTTGGGAGAGAGAAGAAAAGGAAATGGAATGTAGAAGTAATAAATAATAAGAGGAAGTTGGCTCAAACGCTGGGGATTTTTTTTTGCGTTTTTTTTTCTCTTAAGATTTGACTAATGGGAAACAGTTTTAAAGTAACTAAATTACTGGATTTAATTTGTAATCAGATTTTCAGTCTGTCTGAAACTTCTGGCTATGGTTATAAGTTCTAGTGATGATTTTTTTTTTTTTTTTTTTTTGAAAGCAGCTAGAAATAAGGCATCTAATATTTTTGAACAGCCAAGTACCTTTCCTTCAGCACTTTTACAGGCCAGATTTTGAGTCCTCAACTAGCAATTTGTTTTCATCTCCTTGTAAAAGGAGTTGTATTAATATGTAGGCAACTATGTAGAGGGTGAGTGGGACAAAACATAGTTTTTTCCTTAGTTAATTAAATTAGATCTGAGATTTATAAATGCTAATTAAATGGGCATTTATAAAGTACCATTGTATTTCTCAGGCTAATCTTAGTGCTAGGTGACAACCTAGAAAGCTGGACACTTACTTATGACTAAATGTGTCTTTAAAATGGCATGTTGGGAGGTAGGGTAACCCACCTGCAGTGAATGAGGGCCTTCTGTAGGGCACTATGGTAGGTGCCATGCAAATATAAGCCGTGGTTTCTGTTTATGAACCTTTCCCTCAATCCTTCTTGGCTCCTGATAAAGTCTGTTGTTGGCCTTGTCGGGATGAAAGAAAACTGGGAGTCAGTGCATAAAACTGGCAAGGTTGGTGATGAATTCCCCAGTGTGTTAAATTGCAATATGGGGATTGCGAAGGTGATGAACTTCCTTTGTCATTTCTCTCTTTGTGCTCCCAACATACAGAATCAAAGAATTTGCAGCTCAAGCTGCTGCTTTTAACCTCATCAGCTGACAAATATTAACTTACATGGATTTTTTTAAGAGTTTAGTTTTTAGGATAGACAGTTAATTCTTTTACAGAAGCGAGCATACCTGCAATAACTTGTTTAGTGCATTTGACAGTGAAGACTATAAGTAACGTAGGAAAATGATGCCTTCAGAGTTATTATGCAAACTCTTTCCTTTGAGTTACTACTGTTGATTGTGAAGATTACAGAGGAAAGCTCATTTCTCTGTCAAAGTCTATAAAATAGTGCTTGTTAACCTCTGTCAATTAAAGTCAAGGGCTGCTTACAGAGGTGGAAAAAAAACCAAAATGGTACTTTTACTTTAAGTTTGGTGCACCCCTGTGCCAAGCGCAGTGCATGCACAAAAGAGGCATCGCATTAGTTGGACCTGGCTTGCCCAGTATCTGTATAGATCAGGGTCTTTAGTGGGGCCTTTTTGGCACTTTTATCTAATAGCTGATTGAATCGGCTTTAGATAAAAGCACCAAGAAGCCCCACTGAAGCATCTGATCTATTTGGATGCTGTGGAGCCAGGTCAAACTAACGCGTTGCTTCTTCCAGTGAAGCTGTTGTTTGTTTGGATTTTTGCTTGTTTGTTTGTTGTTTTCCCTCCCCCCCCCCTCCTCTCAACTGTCAGTGCCCAAGATGATGCCCTGTATTTTTGTATCTGCTTAAAGCATCATTTTCTAGTCTCATTTACTTCAATTTGTTTAACAACTAAATCACACATGACTTTAAATGTTGCATTCAGGTCCTGTAAACTAATAGTTTGGAATACTGTGCGACTCCCATAAATGATGGTCCTGAGATTTTAGTGAATGGATTCTGCAGCTTTTGAAGGTAAATTGCATAAATCGTGAACAGGACATTTTGAGGAAGTAAGTGCTGAATTGCTTAATGTTGTTTCCTGCTGTAACTTTTAGCTGTTATGTGGAAACTGTATTTCATATGTAGTTGAATGTGTAGTTATTCTGAAAGAAAGGCAGAAGCAAGGGTCTTTTAGCTTGACCTTTGGAATTTTACCCTAGTGAAGGGAATTGGAGGCTTCCTTCCTGTTTTGTGGGGGGGAGGGAGTAGGAATATACAGATTGCATGGGGGGTGGGGGAAAAAGACTTTTTAAGCCAGTCTGGACTTTTGATAGGATGTGTTTATTAATTGGAGAGGCTTGTTCCATTTTTATCTTGGCGTTGTACAATGAAAACAAATTACCATGTATGAATTCACTTTTAAATTGACACGTGCATCATAATATGTATTTGAGCCTTTTTAGTGTTTTTTTCCTTTTTAGTTGGCAACTGATTTGGCACCAGATGCCTTTTGCCAGGAAGAATGGTAAAATGTGTCTCAGCTGCTTTCATTACAGTGGCATTCACTTGAACTGTTTGTTGAATTCAGGAAATAACCTTCTTAAACAGTCACTTATACTAGATTTTATGTGCTGTGCAAACTTAATTACTTTTGTTATGTGTATAATTAATTATTTATATTTAGGCTTCCAAAATGGTTACAGTATTGACTTAAAGTTGGGGAACAGAATAGAAAAATTGTCTGCCCACAGTTTTCTTTTGTAAGTGGACACTGCAAGAACTGCCTTCTAAACGCATTTGATGATTTTAAAATATGAATGTTTTTGCCTAACAGACTTGATGATTGGTAGTCAGTGAGAGCTGTCAATTTTGGAAAAACAGCTTATTTCTGTACATAGGTCTAAAATGGGTATCAGCTCCAAGGTCCTAGTTTGTTTGATTATTTTGCATGTACAGGAGGAACCAGCCTTCTAAATAAGGAAAACGCAAAGTGATCATACTCTTATATGCCGAAGGGCTGGTTTTCACAAATTGGAAATATTTATGCGCAAACCTTCTAAAATTATTTGAGGGAGATGGCAAAATTTCCACTACTCTTGCTCCTATTTCCCATTACTACTTTAGTAGAGGATTATGTTTCTATTGCTCTGATCTCACTAGGCAAGGCAGAGTGAATGGGACTAAGCTGTGCTGCAGAGGATGCCCTGGGGAAGAGATGGAACAGACAGAGAGAAGAGGTGATATGGAATTATGGGGCCTGATAGTGGCTTTATGGCAGAGAATCAGAGATTTGATTCCTTACTCTCTGGACTGGAAGGAGCTGGGAGCATTTAGGTCAGTATGTTTGGCACTTGGGGTTTTTAGAGGAAGTGATGAATGAAAGAGAGAGTTGCATCTAATTTTCTTTTTACCCCAAAATCTGTAGTACGGGTCCCTGTAGATATGGGCCTGTAGGTTAAACTCTATTCTTTCACACCTTGGATACGTGAATAAAAAAACAGCCTGAAGTGGTATAGTGAGGATATAGAAATCAACATCCACACCATTTCTCTACAGAGCAGTAGAAATAAGGGATGTGGGGAAACCAGGAAGAGTGAGTCAGAGTAAGAGGTAAATGGCTTAGAAAGTATAACAGAATGTATGTGTATAGTGCCAGTTATCTAAAAATTTAACTTTCACAAACAACAAATTAAACCTGCCAATAGCTCTGCTTTGTAAGCTGCATTGTAATTACTTTGCAGATAAGTTAAAAGGGTAACTGAAGAGCAAAAGGTCATATGGGGACTTACTGGCAGATTTGGGAACAGTGCCTAATTGTTCTGACTGTGTGTGTGTTCCGTCCTTTCCCCCAGTTGCCACCATTAGTCGT